AAGGGAAAACCATAGAGTTTTCCCTTGTATGGCCGTGGCCCCGCCCCCAGCGTGCCCGGCGTCATGACGTCACTTCCCTGTGACATGCACGCTGGGGCGGGGTTCCCCCCGGGGCCCGATTCCCCGGCGTCAGGGAACGGGCCTCTGGGGCGGGGGGGATTTCCGCCCCCGGGGGGACTTGGCAGCCCTAGTTGTATATCAGATCTCCAGCTACCACCTGGAGGGTATTACACTACACTGGGATTATTACTGTGATAAGTGCGCTAAACTAAACTAAACAATACTCTACTGCAAAAATCAGAAAATATATGCTATTTAAATAAGTTAAAGTGATATGCTTTTTTTACAAGGTTGGAATACGAAAAATACAGTCAGTTTCAAATAAACAGAAGTGGTTTTTAAGGAAGCAATTGATGTTAAGGACGTGCTCCTGAATGTCCTGTGTCGTTTCGACGTTCCTTCTTCTGAGCAAGATTCTGTCTACAAATAAACATTTACAACAAGATTTTTCTTCAAGGATACTCCAATCCAAATAGCCTAATTAATGAAGAAGACAATAAACATTCTTATATAATTTCCAGTTTTTTGTCTCAGCTATAAGAGCAGAAATGAAGCCTGATACTCACATATTTCTTCTTCATAGGTCTATAAAGAATAAATTGACAAACCTTGTAAACAAAGCATATCACTTTAACTTATTTAAATAGCATATATTTCCTGATTTTTGCAGTACTGTCTTATTGCATTTAGTTTAGCGCACTTATCACAGTAATAACTCCAGTGTAGTGTAATATCCATATACTGTGTACCATACTCTGTTTGTTTTAACTACCTGGAGGGTAGCAACCCAAGCTTAGACCCCCAACTAAGGAGAAACAGAAAGTGGGTGTTACACAGAGTTGCCAACCCCCAGGTGCTGCCTGGAGAACTCCCATTATTACAAGTGATCCCCAGATGACAGAGATCAGTTAAGGTTGCCATTCCCCTGATGGGGTGGGGTTTCCCCCAATTTCGGAGGGCTCCGATCCGCCTGCCAGCCAGCAGGCCAGAAGAGGGAACCCCGCCCCCGAAGAGCTCCTCAGCACTGAGTTTTGGGCACACTCTAGAGTGTCCCTTCCACAACATGCCTAGTGTGATGACGTCACTTCCAGGTGACGTTATCATGGCACACACGCAAAGCGCACTCACCTGGAACTCCCAGGGAAAAGGTAAGGACCTGGCAATCCTAAAATCAGTTGCCATGGGGAAAATGTCTGCTTTGGAGGGTGGACTCTATGGCCACTGAGGTCCCTCCCTTGGGTCCTCTCAGGAACTACAATATAATCAGTTTGTCCATATTGCAACAGCACTTTGGTGAAAGTTGTGGTCCCATTAGCACCATGAGCAGGGGTCGTTTGGTAGAAAAAGAGTTAAATAGCATATATTTCCTGATTTTTGCAATACTGTATTATTGTGTTTAGTTTAGCGCGCTTATCACAGTAATAATCCCAGGGTAGTGTAATATCCATATACTGTGTACTGTACTCTGTTTGTTTTAACTACCTGGAGGTAGCAACCCAAGCTTAGACCCCCAGCTAAGGAGAAACAGAAAGTGGGTGTTACACAGAGTTGCCAACCCCCAGGTGCTGCCTGGAGAACTCCCCTTATTACAAGTGATCCCCAGAGGACAGAGACCAGTTAGGGTTGCCATTCCCCTGATGGGGCGGGGTTTCTCCCAATTTCAGAGGGCCCCGATCCGCCTGCCGGCTAGCTGGCCAAAAGGGGGAACCCTGCCCCCGAAGAGTTCCGCAGCACTGAGTTTTGGCCGAACTCTAGAGTGTCCCCCTACAACATGCCTAGCGTGATGACGTCACTTCCAGGTGACGTTATCATGGCACGCACGCAAAGCGCACTCACCAGGAACTCCCAGAGAGGAGCCTGGAGCCCCCCTCCCCGCTGGGAAAAGGTAGGGACCTGGCAATCCTAAAATAAATTGCCGTGGAGAAAATGGCTGCTTTGGAGGGTGGACTCTATGGCCACTGAGGTCCCTCCCTTGGGTCCTCCCAGGAACTACAATATAATCAGTTTGTCCATATTGCCACACCACTTTGGTGAAAGTTGTGGTCCCATTAGAACCGTGAGTGCTAACCCCAAAAGCCAGTATGGTTTATGTGAATCTTTGACTAGAGAGATCAGGGTTCAAATGTGCCCCAAAGTACTTGGACCAGGCGTAGTTTGTCCGATTAGCCTATCTCACAAGCTTCAGGATGTCAGGTCCTGCTTCCCGTGGAGTGAAGGTCCTTCTTGAATGACAATGAATCACATGTGGGAATCAAGTGTTGGAAGGTGGTTGGATGAGGAAGGTCTATTTTAAAAAAAACAAGGATGACGCAGAGAACCTCTCTGTATCTTTACTAGAAAATAAAAAGGAAATTGCGGTATTGGAGAGCTTTAAAAGAAAATCTACTTCCTTATTCGCAGAGTAAACACAAACACAATGTTTCCAGGACAGAAGGATGTGGGAATTTGCCATCGAAGCAAGTATTTGCTATGCAGGGTTGTCAACTGGCCTGGAGAAAAGTGTCCCTTTAACAGAGGAATAATGGGATACAATTTACCAGGCTGGGGTGCCGATCCCCAGTTGGGGGCAGGGGATCCCCTAATTTGGAGGCCTTCCCCCCCACTTTAGGGTTATCAGCAGGGCTATTTTTGGGCAGGAACGGACAGGAACGGAGTTCCGGCTGGCTTCCAAGTTGGCCACACCCAGCAGGAACTCATTAATATAATAGGCCACACCCAACAGCAGGAACTCATTAGGATTGGCTACGTTAGGGGTGTGTGGCCTAACATGCAAA